CTCATCTAACAAAAATGCCCCCAGCGAATGACAGGGATGTCAATGACCTGCTGGCATAGGTTTTACAAAAATATTACAAGCAAGGATATGTTAGAATCACAAAGCAAAATGTGGCTTGGAGTTCCAAACCCAGACACATGTACTTTGCTTTATTTCCCAGTAGATGTGCACCCCAAAGCCAAACCAAAGTTCAAATAAAGAATCCAAAGATGAATCCTTTGCAAAGTTGGTGGTTAAGTGCTCTTTGTACTAGAACTACTATTTCTACCTCTGTTGCTGCTACTACTAAGGATAACGCCAAGCAACAATATGGCCTAATGTAATGAAGCACTTCCTGTGTGCCAGTCTGTGCTAAACCCTGGCCATGCATGCTCTCCATCAGTCCTCACAACAAATTCACACACTATCCCCATTTTGCAGCTGAGGAAACTGAGGCACAAGACAGCCAAGCCAAAGGATGGCTGATGGCAGGGCCAAAATTCCCACATAGGTTTTTCCACCCTGAGCCTAAGATATAACCACTAGGTTAAACTTCTACTCACAACACTAGAATGATGATTTATCTACTTGTAAATCCAAATTTCCACAATCCTGATGGCCTGAAGAGAGAGTTGAAGGCCACTCATGCCCATGCAGATAGATCTGTCTGTAGTGTGAGGAGCTGGAGGGGAAAGCCACCTGGATGTCTGCAGGGACAGAGCTCCCATCTGCTCCAGGTACTTCTCATTCTGTCTACTGAGCGCATTTCAACCTCAGAGAACACAGAGCCGGAGCTGACTAGACAGAAATGATACAGTGCAGCCCTCAGTTTTTCTTGGTTTTGACACCTTCTGGTATGTGCCAAATTAGCAATAAATTCTGAGGAAAACCTCTGAGGGAAAGCCCCTCCTTCACACAAACCAACTGATATTTTGCAAAGGAGAATTGTTGATTTTTCTCTGATCCCACTCAGCTTTCCCATTCAGAAGCCTTTCACTGGAAAAGTTCAACTGGAAGAATGATTCGTGTTCTCATTTCGGTAAAGACACCAAAGTTTGTCATCATCTAAAATGGGAGGAAGAATAGCAGCATGGAAGGGGTATTCTGGAACCTGGCTGTTCCAAGTTTTCATTCTGGCTGCGTCTTTCACCAGCTGCAGAACCCTGAGCGGGTTCCTGCAACTTCAGGTTCCTCAACTGTAAAATAGGAATAGTGATGTCATGAAGTAGCTAGTAAGTGTTTACTTTGTGTCAGGTGTTGTTCTGAGCACTGTAGATTCCATTAACTATTTAATCCTCCCAACAGTCCTTGAAGTAGCTACTATTATTATGCCCATTGCACAGATGAAAGGCTGAGGCAGAGATACATCTAGTAACTTACTGAAGGTCTCACACACAGCTAGGCAACATGGTTCCAGATTCAAGGCCTTACCCCCTCCAGGTAGATACAATAAATTCAAGCAAAGGGCCTGGCACAGCACAGTAGTAAAATGTGGTCAAGCAGTAGCTAGGATTTTTATTCTGAAGGGAGAATTAATGCTTCAGTATGAGTTACATTCTGTGGGTTTTCATGCATTCCTTTTCCTGGTTTCATTCCCATCAATTAAAACTATAAACTTCAGATGTAGTGTTCTACTGTGTTCACTGTTCTGAATCTCTCTACATGGGTTCAAGTTAAGGGGAAAGACATAATGGGTAGTAGCTGCCAGATGTAACTCCAGAAAAATATGAGACTGTGACAACCTTGCCAGTCATTAGTACAAATACAAAATTTTTCACCCACTTTCTTCATTTGATTTTTGTTTCATCTATTTTTCTATGTCTATATGTCCAGGGAGATTTCTTTTCACATATTTAGCTATTATTTACTACTAGTAATGATATGCTTTCCTCTGTACCCAGAGATAGTTTAAAATAAGGCTGGCATTTATTGTGCATCTACTTTCTACTGTGCCTTGTGCTTATACTCCACAAGAATCATCTCACTTAATCCCCACAGTGACCCTGTTTGAGAAGAACCATTGCTGGCCCTAACCTGTTTTCTAGGACACCAGGAGGTTAAGCACCTTGCCCAGCATCTCAGAGCAACCATCCCAACTAGAACTGGAAGACAATATCAACCCTCTCTCAGTAGCCCTGGCCACGCCTCCCATTGAAGGTCAATTTCTGCCATGAATATGTTAATAGATTATTTCAAGAAGGTGGAGAGCACTGTCCAGGACAGTGGATTACAGCTGGGTAATCCACACAACAGTGGAGCTGACCAGGTTGACCTCAGGGCTGATGCACTTACCAGCCGTCCAACCACTGCCATGGTCTCTGTCCCAGTCCAGACAGCATCCTCTCTCTCCCACCTGCACCACTGCACCCGTGACCTTGCTGATCTCCTTGCATTCTCTCTTGCCCCTTTCATCCACAATGCCTCCTCCACCCAGCAGCCATGGGGATCATCTTAAATAGAAATATAATTGTGTCTCTGCCCTGCTTGAAATCCTTCCACAGTTTCCCATCCTGATTTAGAATGAGTGTATTAATGATCCGATTTACCCATTTAAAGGTCACTCTGTCTGCTGTGTCGTGAGTGGAGTAGGGACAAGAGTGAAGCAGGGAGACTAGTTAGGAGCCTGTTGCCATGGCCCAGGTGGACATCATGGAGGCTTGACTGGGGAGTAGCAGTGGGGATGGAAAGAATTGGGATATATTTTGGGGCGCCTGGGTGCCTCAGTCATTAGGCGTCTGCCTTCAGCTCAGGTCATGATCCCAGGGTACTGGGATCGAGCCTTGCATCGGGCTCCCTGCTCGGCGGGAAGCCTGCTTCTCCCTTTCCCACTCCCCCTGCTTGTGTTCCCTCTCTCACTGTCTCTCTTTCTGTCAAATAAATAAATAAAATCTTAAAAAAAAAAAGAATTGGGATATATGTTGGAAAGAAAATTCAGAGAACTTGGTGATGGATTGCATGTCTTTATGCAGTGTTTTAAAATCCCATCAGAAACCTTTATAAAGGATGCTCTGGTTCCCCAAGAGCATGGCATTCAAAACCAAATGAAATATAACAACTATACACTGACTCCCTACTGCATACATATCAAGAACTTTACCAGGAATTTAAAAAGAACAACAAGGTTCTGTGCTAGGAATTTAGAAACGAGAATTTAGAAAGAAGGAATAAGGTTCCTTCCCTCGAGGAGTTCACTCACAGTCCAGGAGGAACAATAAATATAAAAACAAATAAATTATAGCAGTGTGATCATTGTAACAGAAGAATTATCAGCAGGGCCCAGGAGGTGATGACATCAAGGTAGGGATTTAAACTTAGGAAGAATGTGAGTTTGAACATAAGATGCTGGGAGAAGGCATAATATGTAGTGTATCAAGGCTAAAATATAAAGTTTTCTTTCAAAATAAATTTATTCATGTTAAATAAGTCATTTTAAAGGAAAATGTCAAGTAAACCATAGAATAGGTGGACAGATCTAAGATAAATTGGCAAAGCGGAATGTGAGTGGCCACAGTTTGAGGCTCCCTTCATGTAAACAGGGGTGAGCCACGGAAGGAGTTTCAGCAGGGAAAGTCATGATCGCATTTGCAGATGGTAGGATGCATGTCACAGCCAGGAGGAGGATGAACATCATTCTGGGTGTCCCTGACACCCATTAAGAGTTTCCTCTACAAGGTGCCTGGGTGGCTCAGTTGTTAAGTGTCTGCCTTCATCTCAGGTCATGATCCCAGGGTACTGGGATCGGCCCCGCATCGGGCTCCCTACTCAGCAGGAAGCCTGCTTCTGCCTCTCCCACTCCCCCTGCTTGTGTTCCCTCTCTCTCTGTGTCTCTCTCTGTCAAATAAATAAATAAAATCTTTTAAAAAAAAAAAGAAAAAGAGTTCCCTCTACAGTTGTCTATGGAAGCAAAACTGGGGCTGGGACTGAAATAGTGAAGGTATGAAGGGGAGAGACTAAGCAGAGTGGAGAACTTTGCAGGAGGTAAATATATATATCTCAACTGCACTTGGTAATTAAGGAAAAAGGATGAAGAAACAGAGGGACCCAGGTTGACTCCTGGGTTTCTGGCTTAAAGGTCTGAGCAGATTTTGGCCACCAGTCAGTTCTAAGAGCCCCTGAAATTTGTCAAACAGTATAAATTTTAATTAGGTGCATTCTTCTTTATGTTCCAAAGCAGAAATTCTGATTCCAGGTGAAGTGAGAATTTGGATGTTGTCCAGTTGGTTTTTATAGCAGATAAAGCCAGTTTTGGACCTCAAGTATTTGAATGTTTTTGAGGATGACCAGATCTCTCCTCACTTGGTCCAGTAGAGCCTGAAAACCTCACTTCCTTGATCAGCACCAGTGGGCGGGCAGCAATCCACAAGGCCGATGGAGTAATTCATGAATGAAGTGACACTGCTCATAAAATCTCCAGATAGCTTAGAGTTGTGCCTCTGTGGTTCTTAATTCTCCTTTTATTTCATTTGTCTATATCAAGATTAATTTCCATCAACATAGGAGCATTTGGAAAAGGGGGAGAGGTATAGGGAGGACTTTCTATGTTGACTCCAAACTTCCTCCCTATAATATACCTGCATTTGACAGAATTACAGAAAAAGAAAGTCCCTGGGGGAAGGGGATGGAGGGGGATTCCTGACTGAGACTTGAAAGAGGCAAAGGAGTAATAGTTGTAGGATTTAGCATTCTTTTTCCTCCCTGTGCAGCACCTGGCAGGAGTTTCCGGATCTAATAGACTTTTAGCACATACAAAAATTAAGTCACAATGTAACATTTTCCAAGGTGCTTTCTGGAATCAATCAAGGAATCTAAGTCAAGTGTGATGAGGGGCCACAATTCCTTCTATAAATGGAAGTGAAACTTGTGGGCTGTTCCTTCTCAATCACACAGGTTCCAAATCTGCTTTCTGTTTCTGAGCTGCATGCATTTCCTTGTTTATGAGTACCAAACTTCATGGTCAAATGAATTAAACAGTGCAGTCACTCAAGCATTAATGCAACTCTCGTCTTTTTCCTTTTCCTTAGGTATTTATGGGCCATTGGTAAGAATGTCTGGAAGAGATGGAAGAAAAGGTTTTTTGTACTGGTTCAGGTAACTCTTCAACTCTGTCCGTCTAAGAGCCATCAGTATTAAAGATTTGATAGGAGTAATTAATGTTTTTTATTTGAGGTATAACTTACCTCAAGCACACACTGCTCAAGCATTTGGCTTAGTGAATTTTTATACATGTATAAGCATGTAACTAACCACCATGCAGAGGGACGTAGAACATTTCTGGTCCCCACAGCACTCCCTTGTGCTCCTTTTCCCTATTTCTATATCACTTAAATTTTTCAAAATTAATGGCTCATTCTTTTAAAAGTCTAAGAATACAGGAGCACATAAGATAAGTAGGAGAAGTGGACTGCCGCACTGCCGGGATGGAGGTCCCCAGGGAGGAAGCAAACACGTGCCCGGTTAGAGCACTAGGAACACTGACACTGCTTTAGAAGAATTTGCTATTTCTAAAGGCACTAAGATACTCATTATGAGAAAAGTCAGAATTTACTTAGACTTTTGACATCTATTTTACTGTGTAGTATTTTGATATTGAATTCCCTGTGGGGGCGCACTCCACTCTTATTGATGCATGGAGCTTCCAGAAGTCTTAACTAACCTCCTATAACTATGTTTAACAGTCTGGAATGTATCTTTCCAGATAGACTCTTTTTTTTACTGTATAATTAAACTCTTTGTGTTGTCCTGCAGCTCACTTTTTGTTTTGTTTTGTTTTTTTTTTAACATAAATCACTATAGACACTTTTCCATGATTGCATATATAGCTCTGGCTCAACTACCTGTAGAATTTTCCTTTCTGAAGACTTATGGGCTTCCCCAGTTGGGACTATTATTAACCATGCAGCAAGGAACATCTATCTATATATAGATACAGAGGGAGGTGCAGATATTCATATTAATAATACATGAGTAATATATAAATAGTACATTTGCTATCTTGTCTATTTAAGAAAAAATTTCCAGAAATAGTGATACTTGTCCTTGAGAATCTCCCCTGACTTTTTAAAATTTGGTTCATTTGCTTCTTGTACCAGGATTTTTCCATTTACAAGGAAATTTGCCATTGCCCCTTTTCAATTTCCAAGTTCCACCAAAGCATATAGAAAATTAATATATGCTGTATTCTGGAAGATGCCACAAAGCAAGTCAACTTGTAGTTTAGTGACTAAAGGTGTTCATTGGGTTACTGTGTTAACTATAAGCACTGACTGGTATTTAGGGCAATTCCAATTCTAAAACCTCACTATAAAGCAACTGCTTCTTAGGTCTAATGGCGTTAAAAGTTCTACCAACTCTAACCTTCTAAGACTAGACTTTCTGTAGATCTAGTCAAGTTTCTGCTGTGCCACTAAGGAAAAATGCATCTCTCTGGCTATAAGCAAGAGGTCATCTTTGCTTTCATGATTGCTATGGGGTACAACAAAGCCTTAGAATAAATGAGCCCGAGGAAAACTTTGGAATTTTGCCCAACCCCCCAAATAATCCATGGGTAGGCAAAGGAGGACATTTCATCCTGAGATATATTTTCTCAAACTATCAACTGACCAACATTTATTGAGCCCCTACTTTGTGTGGCGCACATTGGTAGGTCATAGAGAAGAACTATGAGGCCTGGTCTCTCACTTCCAGAAGGGTGTCTGTTAAGAGTGCTTTATATATGCAAACAGCAGAAACAGACCCAAGCTAATTAAGGTATTAATAATAATGTATTAGAAGGCTCTTGAGATAGTTTATAGGATTGTTGAAAAAGCTGAATGACCCATCCTTACTACAGGACTCAGAGTAGGTTCCAGAAATCCAGGCGGAGGGAACCACGGCCAGTCATCGATGTGGTCAGAAGACAAGATTGGCTCTGACCATTTTCTATCCTTGCATCTCCACTTGAGGGCCAAATATGAGAGAGAGATTGGTTCAGCTTGGGTCACACACCCAGCTTTTAGCAGGGGCAGGCCAAGGCACTTTGACTCACAGTCCCACTGGGCTGTCTCCAGTGCAAAATCAGGATGCCATTACCAGAAAGAGAAATGGGTGCTGGACGGGCAAAAACAGCTGATGTCCCCTCTAAAGAGAGCGTGTTATAAACAGACAAAAATGCATTAAAAGAGGCAGGGCAAGATGATGCAAGGTTCTCCCCCTTCAGTGCTTCTCACTGGGCACAGCAACCTGTCTTGGAATCCCCTGTGAGTTGGCCTGGCCTCCCAGGCAGCACCGGAGCATGCTCTGTAGAGCCCAATGCACAAACCACACAGAAGCAGCATGTCTACCCGAGTGACTTACTGAATGTTTATTCCTCTCTACTCGGACGTTAGGTCTTGGGAGGTGTTTTTATAAAGAGTTTGCAACATATAATTTCCAACACAGTTATGAATTTCGTTAGATTTAATACAGGGAAAATAGTTTGAAAAACCTAAGAGGAAGAGAACACATCCAACACCAGTCTCCTCAGAATCATCTCCCCTCCCACCCCCAGGTCTCCCCTCCACCACACACACAGACAAGCACACAGAGTCTATAATTTTGGCTGTCATGCAGTGCTATTAAAATTCTCCCTAAGTGAGATTTCCTTTTAGTGCTATTACCTTGGAGGAACCAACAGATAGATTGTAAATGGACTTCCTACTAGCCCGGGACAAAGGACATCCTCAGAGGGATTTTGAACCCAAGCAGTGATTCCCATTTTTAAGGACTGGGGCTAACATCATTATAGATGTGGCTGGAGGCTGCCCACCCCCACAGGCGTGGAAAGAATGAGGCAGTTGCAGGGTGTTTCTGTGCTGGAGACTTAAGTGTTCCTATGCAATGAGATGGTGTTCTCCAAGTATGGGCCTGAACCACCTTACTGGGTGCTATTTAAAATCCACATCCCAGGACACCATCCAGAAGATTCTGATGCAGTAGGTCTGGCATGAGGCCAAGGAATCTGTATGTTTTACAAGTACACCAGGAGATACTGATGCAGGTTTGTCCAGAGACTACCTTTGGAGAAACATTGCCTAAGTGGTCATTGTCTTTTTTAAAGGGAAGGCTCCAACCCCTTTAGACTACACCCTCTCAGAGTTTATGCCCTCCATGGAGCCGAGCATCAGAGTAGCTACACAAATGATTATATGCAGATGAAATGACAAAGCTTCCTCAGTGATGTTCCTTTACATTCCAGTAAATGTCCCCAAATCATGGCTGCAAACTCTAACCCAGAGATTAAGAGGAAATTAAGAGCACTCCAAATCAAGAAATTGCTGGTAAATTCATTCTAAACCCCAGATGCCACGGTAAGGACTAAACACACTGATTACCATTGTTAGGAACTCTGACCAAACCAATGCTAATGATGAAGGTGCCAATTCCATAGAGTTCTAGAGCTCCCCACCTTGGGTGTATAGGGGAGAAATGAAAGCAGCCAACTCATCACCCAGACCAGGCTAGAAAGTCTCATCGCTATGATCTTTTTATTTTAAAAATATTTGTACTCAATAAAATAAATTAAATTTAAAAATAAAATATTTTTACTCTATGCCTAGAAGACTTCTGGTTAAAATCAGTTTTTGATTGGTCGTCATCCAAAGTATTTCTGAGCCTTTTTTCCCCCTTTTAGAACCATACAAACCATAATATTCTGTGTCTCTTCTGATAATGCTAACAATTGCTTATATTTATATGGTCTCTTAGACTTTATAAAGTGTTCATCAAGTTGGTCTTTACAACCTTTCTACACTGCAGTGAAGATAAGTCTTATCCCATTTCATATTTGAGGAAAGTGAGGCTCAGAGTGGCTAAGTGACTTGCCCATGGTCAACAGCTAATAGGCAGCCAAGGTGAAACCTAATGCACGTCTTCTGACTCCAAAGGCTTTCCGTGATTCCAAGCACTCAGGTGGAACAGGTCCCCAAAGAGATTTATGCATATACAATGTTCTAGAGCTCAATTACCTTGTATCAGATAGAACCAATATCCTAAATCCATATCCTATTGCTGATTCTCTACAGATAATGTAAAGACTAAACACTCTGACTGCTTCAGCTTTCAGAAAAATCACTAAATCTGAATAAAATATTGTCATATAATGTAAAATGCCTTGGAATATAGCAGTTGTCACCCAGGAAACCATATTAAAGTAACTTAACCCCTCCAAATGAATTGTGAAACATATAAGTAGTTGAGTGATTTATAACTCTCTGAATGAATGTCTATTTTTCCCACCCAAAATTACATTGCCTTAAAGGGCATTTCTATTTATATTCTGGTTGCAAATGACAACAATCAACCCAACTAGCATACGTTATAAAAAGGGAAGAACTGTATTGGTTAGTTAATTAAATTAGCAGTTGAATAAAGAGTTTTCTGGCATGGGTAGGTCCAGGTCTCAAACACAGCCATCAAGGCTTTGACTCTCAATCAATACCATCTCGCTCTCTCTTTTTTTAAATTTTATTATGTTAATCACCATACATTACATCATTGGTTTTAGATGAAGTGTTCCATGATTCATTGTTTGTGCATAACACCCAGTGCTCCATGCAGAATGTGCCCTCCCCAATACCCACCACCAGGCCAACCCATCCTCCCACCCCCTCCCCTCTAGAACCCTCAGTTTGTTTCTCAGAGTCCATAGTCTCTCATGGTTCATCTCCCACTCTGATTTTTGACCATGCTCTCCGATGAGCTGGCACCACCCTCAAGCAACATCTCTCCATGCAGCAGAATAACATGGGTCAAGATTTACAGCAGTTTAGCAGTCCCAGAGGAAAGAAAGCCTTTCATTCTCTGTAGTTTGAGCTCATCCCCTAATTGATCTTTCGTTGGCCCAGTGTGGTCATGTGCCCATCCCTGCACCAATCACTGCTGCCAAGGAGATGTGATGCTGATTGGCTAGGCCTGGGCCACATGTCCCACCCACCCTACCTCCACACTGAGGCTCAATTAGCCCCAAACAAACTAATAATGGGCTGAAAGTGGGGAAGGCCATGATTCCCCAAGTAAAATCAGGATTCAGCTACCAGGGAAATGAATGCTCTGTATTCAAATATAAGAAATGTTCCACAATTGTTACCATCATCTTGATTTAAAGATAATGAAACTGAGTCCCAGCAGTTAACTGAATTGTACCAGGTCACACACCTAGAAAATAAGGGATCTGAGAATCAAATCCAGGTCTGTATAACTCCAAAACCTATTTTTCCTCTACTCCACCAAGTGGCTTTCGTGTTAAAATTAATCAGGAGTCTAGGATTTAAACTCTGTGACCTTTCATTTACAACCAAGTCACATTAAAGATGGTCTTGGACGCATGGCTGACTCATTACATAGAGCCTGCGACTCTTGATTTGGGGTTGTGAGTTCAAACCCTATGCTGGGTGTAGAGATTACTTATAAAATGTGTTTTTTAAAAAAAGTTAAGCATCATAAAATTAAAAAAAGAGAAAAGGTCCTTGGTCCCGGGAATTTTGTTCTTCACATCATAAAAATTTCTCCATCTTCAGATCTTGGCTCAATCAGTCAGTGCTTCCTCATGCAAACTTTCCCTGCCCACCCAAGTAGACCAAATCCCCAAGCTCTTACAGTATCATATATCTCTTTTTATACCTGTCCCCATTAAAGTTACTCATTTCTGAGGTAATGTGATTAATGTCTACCTTCACACTAGACAGGAGAACAGAAATTCTATCTAGTTTTGTACATCTTAATATTCCTAGCACCAAACACAATACCTAATATTTGTTAAATGAATGAATTAATGAATGAACCATAAATAAAGAACTCTTTTCTAAAATGGATATGTATGAACTTTGGGCAAGGGCTAATGACCAGGGTTTCAGGAAAAATGACAGCTGAGGCATTTATAAGGAGTGATGGTAAAGGCAAAGCCAGGGGGTTTAGACAAATACATTGTATCATTTGTTGTATGTGCATGCACTTCAGTCTTCCAGGGGTGATGGGAGGAAGGAGAAAGGAGAGTCAGGGGACCAGAAAGCACTGATCCTTCCATCTCCTATTTGGACTCAAGTTGTTAAATCTAATTGAAAGTCAGGGACAACCTGAAAGTTTCTGGACAGTTCCCATATGTTAAAGCAATGGTTCTCAAGCTTTAGTGTGCTTTAAGAAATATCTAGAGCAATTATGTAAAATGCCAGTCCCTGAGACTCACCCTGACCTGAGATCCTGTTGTTATGACTTACAGAATCTGCATCTTTATAACCTCTCCCCCACCCTCCCATACATACACTCTAATGAAAATGGCCTCAGTCCACTCTTTAAGAAACATTATTAATAAACCTCTTCCCAGTTTAAATAGTATCTGAAAATAAGCTGAGGGTGCCTTGTGTATGGGAGGTCCAGCAGCTCTTAAATCTCGAAGCCTGTACCCTCTGAAGTCCCAGCAGCCCATCCCATCCCATGATTCTATATGAAAGTACCACCAGCTGAAAATCCCAAAGATGTAAACACTACAGTCCTTTCGCCCTTCTCCCCAAAGGACACTTTCAGATGAAAGTGGTCACGAGATCTCTGTTTTCTGTTGTTCTAGGCCAGCGTCTCTGACAGCAGTGGCCAACTCTCTGACTTCTGACATGTATTCTAGGTGCCTCTCTGCCATCATTACAATAGAGCTCACCATCTCATTAACTTCTTATCAAACTGCAGTTGAAAGAGAATTTTACTGTGGTAGAGAAACATTCATTTCATTCGCTTAGTGTTGTCTTGTAGAGGCTTTAAAAAAAAATCAAAAAGTTTCCAAACCTGTTACTATTCCCCACCCTTCAAGCACTCCAGAAAAACTTAGGTTCCCCCTGAAATTTGCAGTAATTAGAATTTCTTCTCCCTGCCTTTATTTCCTAAAGAAAGTCACCAAATCCCCAATTAAAATGCTTCTGATAAACCAACTAGTTTATGCGATCCCGAAGTTTGTCAGGACAACTTCTGCCATATCACCAGAAGAGGGCAACAGAGTACAGCGCTCCAGAAAGCAAGCACCTGAACTAGAACAGAAAAATCTAAGAGCCCAAAGCGTGTAGCAATAGTAAATGCATAAATCTTGAAATAACACCCTTCTGTTGTTATATTTTTCTGATCTCAAGTTAGTATCTGCAACTCTCTGGCTAATCATCCCATTAACAAACTACATCATCTCTCGTGTTGCCAGAGACAGGTAAAAATCACGACAGAAACATTCCAGCAATATGTATGACCACTATCATGCTGGGGACCTGGGAGCTCAGTTATTCAGACCAGTAATGAGTTGGAAAGGCCTGGTGCTGTGCTTGGAGTAACATATGTAAATTTGGAAGGAAAAACCCTCTTTATTAGGTTATACGTACTTTCTAGAACCAATCAGACTCAAAGAGCAAATGCCCTTTATATGGTAGATTTTGCTTATAAGGAGGGAAATACAACGAAGATGTATGACTCGCTAGGCTTACCCTCAAAGGATTTATAATCTAGTAGGCAAATATACCTATTCAACTACTCTATATTAGAATGCTGGTGCTAAATGCAAGGAAGCTGCTTATTTAAATGCATATATTGAGCATTTGCTCTGTGATTGTCGTACATGGTATGTGAAGCCCTTCATTGCTCAGTTAATCCCCCAGCAACAGTAAGATGCACGTAAAATACAGACAAGGACGCTGAGACAGGTGGGAGCTTATCAGAGCTGGGATAGGACCCCTGGCCAATGTGACCCCCATGCTTGCACTCCTAACCCTCCTTTTTAAGAGAAGAGGATGCTATTGGTTATTCTGCTTATTACAAAGAATAATACATGTCCACTTATGAAAATACTCTTCGTGATCTGGCCTTCTATTTCCCCTGAAGTCCCTCCAGGCCTTGCACTAGAAGGAGCCGGTTCTGCAGATCATACGCATTACGAAGAAAGTTGTCACCAGGAACCAACAGAGGGCAGCAATAGATATACCAATCCTTCTCGTTTATCTGCCAGTAGGACCGGGAGGCCCGAGACGATGCAGGAGATGGGTGCAGGGCTTGAAAGCACCAATTTCTTATTACCATTAAAAAAAAAAAAAAAAGATCTCACCATGGAGGAGGCTAAAAATGTCCCCAGCAGGGATCAAAGTTCACTTAGAAAATGTCTCTCTTAATAAAGGGAACTAAAGAGATAAGGGATGTGGCACTCCTTCTCTAAGACATGTGACATCGTGGATGGTAAACATGCCCACGAGCTTTTAGCCCAAACCCCGAAGGGTGCTTGCTCTCCCACGGACTCCTTGCAGATGAGCCAGATGTAGAAATGCGAAGGATCCATGCCGGCTGTGCATGCACTGTGGCGACAGGGTCCCGAAGGCCGGCCTGCAGCTGTGGAGCAGCCGCCCAGCACTGGCAGGGACGCCTGTGCCGGCCATGAGGGCTGCACAGGGACAACGGCCAGGCCATCGGGGGCTGAGGATGGCTCGACTGTGACTGGCACCTAGCAATAGAGCGCTCATTGCTTGTGACAGCGTGTCACTCCTGCACTTGTCTGAGAGGCAAGGAAGACTTCTCAAAGCAACTGAAAGCACTCCTTCCATAGGAGAAGAGGGAGGGGAAATAAAATGTGTGGCTTGATGCTGAGAATTGGCTTGCAAAAAATAAAATGGTAACCAAAAGTCGCTGGGGCATTTATAAATGAACGTCTGGTCCCTACATGCTGACCAAAAGGCCTGTGGGAACGTGGGAACCAGCCAGGGCCATGGTTATATTAGGTAAAACCTATCAAATTGCCACTATTTAACCAGTTTTGACCTACAAAGAATGGCAATCTCATATGGCTTAGCCAATTAAAATAACAAACAGTAATAGTAATTGCAAACAGCTTTTATCAAGCACTTACTTAGTGCTAGGAACAAATCCCAAGTGCATGCCACATGTGAACTCATTCAGCTCTCACAATACGCCAGTGAGGAGGTCAGTTCTCAGATTGCATCCAGTCTACCCAGGAGGGTCCAAAGGACCAGAGAGGCTGAGTAACTTGCGCTAAGTCACACAGCCAGGAGGTAGCAAAATGCAATTGGAAGCCAGCTACTAAGTGCAGGGCCTCAGGGACAAGGACATGGTTGATCAGAGAGGGCTTCTTCAGGGAAGATGGGCCCTAGGGGAGCAACCTTACCATCTGTGCTTTTCCTTCCCAGGTCAGTCAGTACACATTTGCCATGTGCAGTTACCGGGAGAAAAAAGCGGAGCCTCAGGAACTTCTACAACTGGATGGCTACACTGTGGACTACACGGACCCCCAGCCAGGTACCCACCCACCCTCTAGGCTATGAACCCCCGGAACTCTCCCCTGACACAAATCACAGGTCAACTAATATTTCCTGGGCACTACCTCCATGCTAGGCACTAAGCCGAGTGACTAGGTTTCACAGGTGACCAGGATGGCCACAGTCCCTGGTCTTACAGAGTTTCCATCCTGGTTCAGGGAATGGCATCCCAATCAAGGGCTTTGGTTTGACTCAAGGGATCCTCATAAAACCAAAAAGAAAACGTAATACATTTTTCTTTTACCTAGCTGTGCCCACATCAAATAGGTACCCCACCTAGAATGCTAAAAAAGAAATTACTGAAAGAGGAGTCTTATATGTTCACTAAGGACCGTGTGCACGTGTGTATGTTAGCATGTGTGGTTTTTCACCAGGGATGTGTGGGCTTGGCAGGTATTGTGTTTCCATGTCTAAGTGAGCCTGTCCTGTACATCCATATCTGCTAACTACAAGTCAAGTTTAGCTGATGGCACTTGAAAAGAAAGCTCTCCCTAAATGTCTTCTTTCCTAAGAAGACACCAATCCCCAAGCATAGACATCCAATCTCCTAAGCCTTATGTAACTAAAAGAACCACACAAATGGTAGTATTTCTCATAAGTTCTACATCCTGCCCCCTCACACCTCTTCCCCCCACCCATTTTATCTTTTCCCAGGGAAAAAAAATGAATAAAAATCAGCCTCAAAGAACTTTCAAAATGGGGGGGGGTGCGAAATCATTTCAGCATATTAATGAACAACAAGCACCAACAGCCCTCTCCCAGAGAAGTTTATTTTTATGCCAAATCTGCACAAGGGAAGCATTTCCAACCATACTGCATTATTTGGCCCAAAACCTTTTTTTCTACTCCCATATTGCTCTTCCACATGCAACAAAATACACATAAAAGAAAAACAGAGTTTGAGAAAAGATGGAATGTTAACCTGAAAAGGTGTGGCAGGGAAGGCCTTGGGCCCAGGCTGCTTAGGAAAATGAGTACCTTCAGAGCCCCAACCCTGAGTGATTTGGACCAGCCCCCACCTCTCCCCTTGGTAATTTGCTTCCAGCCAGAGCATGATACAGAGCTGACCATGTAAAGCAAGAATTAAAGGCTCTGCTTAAAAATCTTTCATACTGAATAGAGCCTACGAGTTCGAAACAATTTCTTGCAACATCTCATTGAAAGGATGTGGCTCCTGCATTAAGAAACCAGCCCTCACGGGTTCCTGCAATAGTCCACATTCTTCTCAAACCATTGGGTTCCCTTCAGAAAAATAGATTCCAGCTTTCCAAAGACCTGCATTTTAAAGTGGGAGACAAAAGGGCCCACATGAGAAGAAAATGCTGTAGCGTCTTCTGACGGTAATTCCTTCTAACCCATTTCCCAGTTCCTTTCCCCTACACGATTGCATTTGGATCTGACCACAGTCCTACCAAGGAGGCAGGACCAGGATTATCTTCCCGTTTTGGAAAGAAAGAAAAAAGAGCTGGAACTCAGGGTCTAGCCCACGTCATTCTTTGGCACTTGCCGTAAAGCATAACTCCATGTGCCGCCAGAGCAAAGCTAGAATTGTTATTTTATTATGGGAAAGCAGAATTCTCTTCCCACAATGGGGAGGGCAGGAGCAGAGAGAAAGCTGTTCTACATACATGCAAAAGTTAACTGTGTACATATATTATAAAATCTTCTTTTCTTTGTTCCACATCGATCCCATGGGATATAATTTATAAATTCCTTTACCAAAGATGTAAATGGAAAGTAAGTTGATTATGTTCTTGAGAATAATAAGCAGCTTCTTTTCTGCTCTTCCATGTGCCAAGTCCTATTTATTTCCTAATGTTTGATTGAAAACGGAGATTTAAATACGCCCAATTGTCATGAGAAGTCTAACTCAGACTTTCTGAAAGAGTGCTTTAACTCCTGGGCCCCACTCCTAACCTATGAGCCAGAAGGGAGGAGGGCAGATTCCTCACATTTAAGTAAGGACAGTCGAGGATTCCTGTGCACAGTCAAGTTGACCAGCTGGAGATGGAAGTCATGCACAATTTAGCCACTGTCCTCAGAGATTGGAAAAATCTCCTCAACCTCTCCCTGACAGGTGAGTGTGCACGGGGGTGGGGGGGACTTCTGAGTCCCTCCTGTTTCTCCCGCTCTTGGCTTTCTGCAGGTTGTCTGTGGAACCAACAGGCGGAAATTGTTCACGGGGTAGGTAGCCTTGCAGGCGTGTGTGTTCTTGCCTCCGTAGCGGCCTCGGGTCGAAATGGGCGCCCAGACACAAGCCTGTGAGCCAAATCAGCCCCACCTGTTTAGAATCTTTGAAATATTAATTTGGGGAATCAGTAAATAATTGTATGTGAATTTTCCATCCAGGATACTCATTTTAAGCTAAAAATGAAAATGCTTCGCTTTCAGTTTCCCTGGGTATGGTTGGGAGAGTATACAGTAATCTCTCAAGTCCTATTAGACTAAGTCATTCAGTCTAAATAAAAGGATATTCAGAATAATCCAACAGCACAATTTAAACAACTGCATTAAACCTTAGACAGTGTTCCCATCGTAAACAGACTGTGTCCATCCAGCAGGTTGCTGGAACAGCAGTGCCCCCGCCCCAGCCCCACAAGGAACCAGCCACCACTCCCTGCCTGCCTGGTCTGCCTCTGTCCTTTTGCAGACCTGTCGCCTTGTGCTTGACAGGTCAGTACCTGTGGGGCTGTGCTCCACGTCCTCCAGGAAGAGCCCTCGCCCTGTCACACATCACCGTCTACAGATCCAGTCCCCAGGAATAGCTGCCCTGTCGAAACCTCTGCTGCCTCGGAGCATGTGCCGATGTTCACTTGGCTTCCTCCTCCCCTGGTTTTCTCTGCTCCCTCCTTGCTTTCACTGGTGTGCCCTTGGTCTCCTATGCCGTCTGAAATAGCTCTGTTGCTCTCTGCAGCTGTCATTTCCCCAGCTTCTGCCACTTTCGATATTTCTCCTTGTGCTCCACTCACACCACAGTTAGGCTTCATTCTGTTGTTAACAGGTAATTCTCAGAGCACTTTCACCGTGCGCCAGGCCATGCTCCTCAGCTTTGCAACCGAACAGCACAAGGGGTCCAGTTGTCAGCTCTGGAGCCAGACAGTGGGGCTAGAAGCCCAGCTCTGATGCTTACAGCCCTGCTTTGTGTGTATTGGCTAGTCATAGCCTTCTCTGTGGTTGTTTCCTCATTATAAAGTGGGAATAATAGTACTTACTTCATAGCACCGTTGGGAGGATCGAATAACAATCTGAAAATTGCTTAGTATCTACTTCTACCTCTCCACTCTCCAGAGCAATCCCGTGAACTATGTTCTGACCGTACCTCCGGAAACACGGCATCCCCACCCCCAGCTGTGGGGAGTGGGCAGGGGGGAGTCACCTCCAGTGATGGGGGGCCTAGCATTCACTGACAGTATCGATGTGGCTTATCCCAAAAGTTACCATAAGGCTAGGCTGCAGAAGGTCTGTTGATTCACTCTTCCTTTAAGCTCCTTCGTGTTCACTTTTTAGGGCTTAGAGCATTCCCTCAAAGCTCTTCTTCCTTTCCCTTCCAGATTTGCCTTTTTCTCGTGTCGCCCGTTCATCTCATCAGGTTTTCCCTGCTTGCTAACTGTACATCATCCTATCCAAACCACACATTTAAAAACCCTCCATAAGGAATTAGGCAAAATGCTCTCTCATAATCCTAACTACCAAAAAGCTTTTGTTAAAAATGCCTTAGCACTAAACCCTCCACATGAAGAAGTAGCTGTTGATTGTTCTAGAGTCCCTGGCAACTCTAAGTGCAGAATTCCCAACACACACCTTCTCAATGGAATAGGCACCTGAATTAACATTATCAGCACCATGGAGAAGTCTTACTGTCACCAGAAATCTTCCAGTGCCAAATGTCAAGCAGGCTAGTGACAGGGCATTGTTGGAAATTTGGGGGTGCTATTCACTCTGCTCATTCTCCTCTCAGTATTAAACCAGTAATTGGGAGGATGAGGAGGAATCTGATAAAGATAGGAAGCTTTATTTCTAGCCAGAGAGTATCCAGTGACCCTAAAATGCAATCTTTTAGAGTATGTTGACAGACACAATGTCGCTTTGGCCTGAGCCCAAAAAGGCTTTCACCTACCTCTCTCCAAATTTTAACCTTGAGAGCTGCCTGTGGAAAAAAGACAGGTCTGTAGAGCATTCATTTATTCAACAAGTATTTGCTAAACACCAACTATATACCATGCACTGTTCTAGGTACTAGGGATACAGCAGTGAACAAAACAGACAAAAACTCCCTGTCCTTATGAAGTTAAGTAAATTATATAGCTTGTTAGAAGGTGATAAGCGAGATAAGAGGGATGGTGACTCAAGGGTAAAGATCAGGGAGGGACCCAACAAGAATGCGATGTTTGAGCAAAGGTATGAAGGAGGTGCTGATGTGAACCATGCAGATATCTGGAGGAAGCATATTCTAGGCACAAGAAACAACAAGTGCAAAAGTCTCAAGATGAGAACATACCTGAAGTGTTCAAGAAACAGCAAGAGCTTAGTGTGGCTACCGAGAAGTATGTGCATCTATGCATTAGGGAGAGAGTAGGAGGAGACAAGAGTAGAAGTAGTGGTGGGTCGATCCAGGGGGCCTTGCAGGCCTTGTTAGAACCTAGACTTTTCCTCTGAGTGAAATGAGGAATGACTGGCAGGTTTTGAGAAGAGGAGTGACATGACTTGACTCTTGCTAAACTGATTACTTTGGCTGCCACTGAGAATTGACTATAGAGAGTGAGGATGAGGCAGGGCGGATAAGATAGGAGACCATTAAAATAGTCCAGGTGAGAGATGAGCATGACTAGATTCAGAAAGCACTGCAGGTGGAAGAATTCTGGTAGAATGTTCTCAGAATTCCATTGGAAGTGGGTAGTGAGAGAAAGTGAGGAGTCCAAAAGGACTCCAAGTTTGAGGGCTTGAGCAGCTAGAGGGACAAGCTCAGTTTTACTGAGTTGGAGAGAGTTTGGGAAAAAGACCAGGAGTTCAGTGTCAGATATGATGAGCTTGGGGTGTCTATCAGATACCCATGTGAAGAAGTCAAGAACACCATTAGATGTACAGGTCTGCAGTTCACAGGAGGGGTCAAGGTTGGAGATAGAAATGTAGGGACTATAAGCAGATTCATGGCTTTTAAGACTGGATGGCCTCACTGGGGATGAGAAGAGGTCCAGAGACACACCAGGATGCTACAACATTTAACAGTTAGGAGGAGGAAGAGAAACCAGCAAACAAGACTGACAAGCAGCCTCCAGGGAGGAAGGAGGAAACTGGGTAACCTGGAACCAAGTGAAGAAAGTGTTTCAAAGAGAATCAAGTGTCAAATGCTGCTGATAGGTCCATGGATCAAATAAAATGTAGACTCTGAGTGACCTTTGGATTCAGCATTGTGGAAGTCATTGATGACCTTGACAAGTTTCAATGGGGCAGCAGCCTGATTGAAGAAGCTTTAGGACAGACTAGGAGAGAGACTTTTGTTACTGTTAAGTGTGGTCCTTAGACCAGCACCATCTGCATCCTCTGGGAACTTGTTAGAAATACAGGTTCTCAGGCTTCTACCCCAGACCTACCAAGGCAGAAGCTGCATTCCAACAAGATGCCCCTGGGATTCACAGGGACACTAAATTTTTAAGAAACCCTGGTAGAGATTCCCCTTATATTTTAAAGAGAATAGCAATAGGACCGTAGCTGAAGGGAGAGGTAGGGTCAAGTGATGTTTTTGTTGGTGGTGGTGGTGGGTGGTTTGTTTTTAAAGATGAAGAAAAGTAATAGTGTGCTTATAGGTAGATATCTACCCAACCAGCCTACTTGACATTCCTGTCCCCAGTCAGACAAAGACAAAGGTAAGAGCCAGTCTCAGAACGTCTGTTTAACATTATGAGCTTCACTCTGTGGCCAAGTGGGTATCAGACTTACCCTCCTAGAATTAGATAAATTGCTCTTCCATTCTCTGGCCTGAGGAAAAGCAGCAGAAATGGCCTTTCTCAGGGCTTGGTTCCTCTAAGAACATGGCAGCTCAGCTTAGGAGTGTTTATTCCCTTGTATTCCAGGTTTAGAGGGTGGCCGAGCCTTCTTCAATGCAGTCAAAGAAGGAGACACCGTGATATTTGCAAGTGATGACGAGCAAGATCGCATCTTGTGGGTCCAAGCCATGTATCGGGCCACTGGGCAGTCACACAAGCCTGTGCCCCCGACCCAAGTCCAGAAGCTCAACGCTAAGGGAGGGAACGTGCCTCAGCTGGACGCCCCCATCTCCCAATTTTGTAAGTAAATATGCCATTTGTTAAAAATAGCTCTGTAGAGGAGAATAAATTTTCCAAAGCTGAATTAGAAAAATCTAGTTGCTTTTGTGTTAAGGATTCATAAAACATGTTTGGTAGGAAAAAAAAAAAAAAGATGAATTCAGGGTGGGGTGGGGGGGGAGTTGGGACAAAAATGTTAGATGAAAGTAATTTTAAAGTGCAATACTTGACATTTCCCCCCAAGGACTAAACAGAGGAAAATATATTTTAGGTGGATTTTTATCTCTTTGTTTTGGTGAGAGTTTGGAATTCAGAGTCAGGCTTGTGTTTGTTTGAGTCCTTCAAATATAGTAGGTTATGTATGTCCTTGACTCATTTCTTCCTATTAAAAGTAATTTTAAAATAGGGCTTGATTCGAAATAAATTTAAATCTGCAACTTAGAAACATTTAAAAATAAATGATGACATTATCACATGCAGTGGAAAGAAACAAAAAAACAAAAAAAATGGTGCCTAAAATCCCATTCTGAGCAAATATACCAGGACCCAAAAATGAAACCATCTCTTTAAACTGCTCTGGTTCATTTTCCATCTTTTTCTCCTGTTACCTCTACATCCATTTTAATTTCTTGCCCCTTTGCCATGACTTTTTGCTATCTGGGATAGTTTTTTTTTTCCTCTCAACACTTCTGATACACAAGGCAAGGTGAAATCCAGCATACGCTTGGAGGCGGTTATTAAAGCAAAGGAAAGGGAAACACTGGAAACATACAGCACCAAATAAAGTAATTCGTTTTAGTTACAAATGTTAACCCTAACTAGAGACTTCTCTCTTACGCAGAGTATCAGGTCAGTTAGGGTCACTCAGGTACAAGTCATTTTTAGCGATCATCATGATGATTCCTTACTTGAGCCTGGGCCCCCCTTGGTCTGGTTCACAGAGACAACTGTATAGATGATGAGACATACAGATGAGGAAGACAGACAAGATCCCCGTGTTCAGGATACGTCCATCCCCGTGGGGGTATCTAGCCAGCACACAAATCAAAAAACAAATAAGATCATTGTAGACGTTGGAAACTACAAAGAATGTAATGCAGTGGTGACTGGGTGGAGAGGCATGATCTGAACTTAAGCCCAAACGATAGGAAGTCAGCTCCACATGTACCTTGGAAAAGAGAACTGTACCAGATGGGAAAGCAAGTACAAAAGCCCAGGATGGAAACTTGACCTTTACCCCAGCACTTCTACATGGTCTCTCCCTGTCGCTCCTAAACAAAATGTGCATATGATTCAAATGATTTTGCAGCAACACAACTAAATAGAGGTGAATTCTCTCTCCAATGGATTCCATTGCCATGTCCCTTTCTAACAAACTATGTTCTTAAACCTTGTAACTCCCTTGCTTATGGGAAAACAATTCTTTTTGGAGGAGAAATACTCTCCATCGGGTGCTCCCGGAAATTCCTGTCCAGTACCGATGGCTTCCTAAAGGAAGATACATTCCCCATGGAACATTGTGGATAATCACACAATCACCATGGGTTTCTATGCAGAAAACCATAAAAGAAGGAGGAGGAGGTTGAGGAAGGACTTTGGGTTAAGGGACAGCCCTCCTGACCGTAGCCACCACCAACTTCCCCACACTCTTCTTGCTTTCTCTAACATTTGGGAAACTTAGGTTTACTTGAGAGCAATAAAGAGAGAAGGCAACATCTCTTTGCATTGGTTTAGTCATGAGTTGAGATAAAGCATACCCCAATATTTATTAAGTTTGTTTTAAAAACTACTCTGTGGTGGAATCCATCCCTTCACCTTGCCTGAGAGGCTCCATTTTAATAAATTTAGAAACAACACATCCTGTGAAATTATCTGTACGTCGGGGGGGTGGGGATTCCAAATTATAATCACCATCCAAATCAACCTCATAGAACATGTATCTCAGGTGGTATTTGGAAAATACTGGTTTTATTTCCAAAAAATCTCAATTTCTTCTGAAGTCATTCCACCTTACCTTCAGTGTTTCTGTTCTATCATCTGCCCAGATCAAGAAATTACTGCTTCCTTTGTGATTAGCCTCACTTCTTCCTCACTAGCATAGGAAAGAAGAAGGAATTCAGGAGTAAAAGTAAATGGAAACCAAACACTTATTTAAAAAAAGACCATTGAAGGAGGTTGTAAGGAGGGGATGGGGTCTCCTTATGGAAATACACAGGGGCTCTTGATTAGATTTCCCTCTGTGGATAGGATTCATTCAGCAGTGAAATTAGAATGCTGAACACAAGGCATCAGCAGGAAGATTTAATTGAGTGCACATCAGCTTGATGTATTTTGCCACCCTAGTTGACATAGGGAACTTGTATTAAATGGGGCATCCAAAGCAGAATTCTAAGGGTTAGAATTTGAGGGGGTGGATAATATCATCCCTAGAGAACATGGGAGGTAGACTGAGGGATGAGTGAGAAAGTAAGATAATTCATGCCTCTGAAATTTGTCAGTACCTGGTGGTGGAACCACCTTCTCTCTTGTCTCCTTAATCCCTGCTGAGGAACAAGGTTTCTCCAAAGAGTGCGAGGCCTTACCACACCTACCAGGTTTTACAAGCAAAAAACTACCACTTTGATCCGTGCAGACTGTGCACTTCATTAGTCACTTTTCACGCACACAAAAATGTGAATGGTGCCTATTGAGTTGTGTCGTGCCCGATCTGCACAACTGTGCACCATTGACCCTGTAATAAATGACAGTCCTTACGTGGAGCTTCAATCCAATAATGTTGAATCCAGTAATCCCATAGTTACTTCACTACTCCTGAAACAGAGGCTCAATACCACTCCAGATTCTGTCTATTGCTAGTTTAGGCTCTTAATAAAAACTGCAACCAGAGTACCAGCAAATGAGCCTTCTGTTCCCACAATTTAGCAGAGGAATCCAGTCAGAATTTTAACCAACCTAGCCTTCTGCACCTGATCATTTGGAGTTAGGTGTATATAAAACCAATGATAAAGATCAAAAAAGGAAAAAGGAGCTCTGCATTTCCTGGGGTCACTGAGTTAGTGATGCATTACAACCAAAAACTGGCTGGGGGTTTGAGAGTATATCCTAATTTTTACTGGAATCTGTTACAGAATAGTGGTTATGTCACAATTACTTTACAGCTGCATTTAATTTGTTAAATTCAAACCATCCCTATTAAACAGATCAGGCCTCATTTGTGGGTAGCAGTCAAACTCACAGGGTTGATTCATACTTTAGAGTTACCACCTTATCCAGATTTGCCTGCAAATTCCCTGGTTTTAGCACTGAAAGTTCTGTGTCTCCAGAAACTCCTTGGTCCTAGGCAAACTGGGACAGGTTGGTCACCTAGCACAACAAAGCAAGGTTCTAGGGAAATGAAAAACAATCACAACATAGTAATAAACAGCAAACTTTGATCCATCACTGATAGCTGCTTCTCAGACTATAATGTCACATCATAAACATTCAGTCACGTGTTCTATAACACAAAGAGTAAACACAATCAAGTATTGCATTTTAAAAAGGTTTCCTTGACTTCTAAAAGGTAAGGGTCATTGTTAAATACCTAGTCCTGTACACATTTCATCAAATCCTGGTTTCGAATATTTGTTCGAAGTCTTTGCCATTCTTGCAAGTGAATGATTTTTAAGAACAACGTTTCAGTGAGTTAACTTTTGTAATCCCTTTATTAGTCTTAGTTGGCAAAGGGAAGCTACAGAAAAATGGGAGAGGTTTCTCGGGTAGAGAAAAATAAACACTCCAGTCTTGTCATGTCGCTGTCTGCTTAAGGGGAAACTTGAGAATGGAACATTTTGCAGTTTGGGAAGCTCGGGAGTAATTATGAGTTTATCTGGGTCTTTCTAAATTCAGTTTGACAGACTTCTGGGTGCAGTTTTTATTTTTTGCAATTTTTAAAATGAAAAGACACGTCTAAGAAAGAGTGGAGTGGAGTATTTATATGGAATTGTAAAAACCGAGAAAATAGATCCTGCTATTCATTAGTTTGTATGTGACTCTACAATGATTTGGGGAGGGTTCCACCAAACTTTAAAACTTTTTTGTTCTTTTGTGGTTTTTCTTTGGTGTGTGTTGTTGTTGATTTAATTTTTCCCCTTTTATTTTGGTTTAAACTTGAAAAAATTAAGTCAGTGGCTAGCTATACAACGTTTTTAAACAAATATTTGCGATTTTCCAATTTTTAATAAGGCCAATATTGCTCACCTTGGAAACTGTGTTCAAGTCTGTTGTCGCGTGCTGCCACAATTTCTTATGCCAAGTGGCCTCTCATCGAGACACCAGATTCCTGTCCAGCCTGTGTTAGAGGAACAGTGAAAACCCGTACCTCCATTCTCATTCAGAGTGGGGGAAGGGGGCGTTTTAAGCTTTGCTCTTTGGTCAATGATTACTTGATGTATCACTTGCAATGCATCTCCTTTTAATGTCTGTTTCTCAACTAATAACTGTTAATCACATCATACATCCCCAAAGTCAGATGTTTTTGAGAATTGTTCTATTTTTACTACCACCCAAACAGTCTTCAACAGTTAGTGGGGTCTTGGTTACTGTTGGTTTGGGGGGGGGTTGATTTTGGTTTTTGTTTTATTTTGTTTCATTTAAGTTTTCTTGTTCAGTCTTTGCTCAAACCCAAGAACTTTAGCTGCTAGGTTAGAACTCCTGTCTGCTTTCCTGAGCCTTGTTGCTAGTCTTTATGTTATTCTGGTTTGTTCCTTCTTACCCTGCTAACTTCTAGCTGGACTGAAGGGTAAGTGTTCCCCTATAGCTAGCACAGCTCAGATAATCAGACTAGATTATCTGACACCTGCAATGTGCTTCCTCCCTCTCCTCTTAAATCTCCTCATGTCTAGACTTTGTAGTAAAACTTTTCATGTTATTTTCCTGAACGTAGGTTTGAAATGTAAGCTTCCATACTGAAACTAGGATGCATGTGATGTGTGCATAATTGCCTCCTCTCCTTGGCTTTCATATTGGCATCAAATGATCCT